CAGGAGAAGAAAAGTTTCCTCCAGGGAAGGCTGAGAGGGGCCCACCACACACTAAGAAAACAAAAGGCAACAGAGAACACAATTAGATCCATTCCATAAGAGAAGATCGAGACAATACCAAATCAGTAGCAGAAATAAAACCATCACCATATTGGTTTGGTCTTCGAGAAAAACCATCACCATATTGGTTTGGTCTTCGAGAAAAACCATCACCATATTGGTTTGGTCTTCGAGACGCAGCACCAGTAGAAGTTAAAGGGCTGGCTTAGGAAGGGGAACGGTGGGGACAATATCTGTGTTTTACAAAGGTAGGGTACAAAAATAAGCCAGCTGCTTGCTCCTTTAGCCCCTGGAGCCATGGTAATGCTGTCCGGTCAGGTTGGGACCGCTAACGGCAAGACTAGTCCCTCCATGGAAGAGGGATGAAGCTTTCTGCTCCACTAAAGACGGACAGCCTCACGGCAAAATCCTTGAATGAAAGGGTAGCTAAGAGTCTGAAAGGACTCGGTGGCCGTGGGTACATATAGATTAGATGGGTGAGGTTTGGCTGTGCATCAATATTTCTGAATTTGAGCCAATCATTTAATGGCATTTAATTTAGAGAAATACCCAAATACAACCATTGTAGGTCTTCTACCTTCTGTTAAGAAAGTCTCTGCTCATCCTAAGCGTTTACTGGATCAAACAGAGACGACGATTACCTTGGAATGCCAATGAATCTGCTCCTTTGAACAAGGAACAAATGATCCATTTTCAAGGAAATCACTTACATTTCAAATCCGAGCACCACGACAGAATGTCACTAACCCAGAAAGTTGAAGGATGTTCATAGTAAAAGGTGTGCACGGGATAGGCCACGCCAAATGTGAAAATCCCTCTCCCCTCGATTGCACCGAGACGGGTGATTGAGAAACAATGAACTCTGCCTTCTTTGATTAAAATCGTTATTCTCTAAGAGTAAGCTGAGTTGTAAGAGGTAGATAGCCTCTTTCAGCACAAAAGAATCAACACGCAACTGAAAACCAGGCAACTAGCCGTGTCCAGGAGGCTTTCTGCGAATGTAGAACTGTGCGGCCTCGGAAGCCCGGGGACAATAACTGGAGCCAACTTGAGGGCAGTGAACGTGGTTTTCTGCTTCCTTTACAAGCCACAATCACAGTTTTCTTTCTTTTTTTAATTAAAAGATCATTTTATTGGGGGCTCTTACAACTCTTGTAAGAATCCATACATCCATTGTATCAAGCATCTCTCTACATATGTTGCCATCATTCTCCTCTAGACATTTACTCTCTATTGAGCCCTTGGGATCAGCTCCTCTTTTTTCCCCTCCCTCCCCCCGACCCTGGTGACCCCTTGATAAGTTATAATTATGATTATTCTTTTCATATCTTACTCTGACCGTTGTCTCCCTTCCCCCAAGGCTCCTGTTGCTGTCCCCCTGGAGCGGAGTGTGTATGCTTATGTGTCAATCATTGCAAGCAGTTTCCCCTGCTCCCTCGTTGCCCCACCTTCTCCCTGCCCTTCTGGTACCACTATTCCCATTTCGATTCTTGGATTCTGAACAGTTTTTGTTCTGAAACCATTTAGTTTCCCCCGATCTGAGTTGGATTTTTTTATCTGATTACGTATCTTTCTCATGTAGAAGATCCCAGGTATCATGTTTATCACTAAAGGCGGAAAAGGAGATTCTAATGCCGCTGGCAGTGTTTGTAGAGCATCTTCAGTGCGCCAAAGCAAGGTGTATTTATAGCATCCTCACTTACCAGCATCTTCACTAGATGTGTAGGAAGCAAGGAAGCCTCCATAGGGCCTGGATCCATCAGTGAAAAAGATGACTTTCATTGTATTTCCTGAAGATTTGATCTGGTTGCTTACATTCACACTACTGCACACTGTCTCTAGGAGGGGTGAGTCACTTCTAATGCCGTTGAATACCTGTTAGAAAAATAGGTGAGCCTTTAGGCACAATGTCCATCTCACTGAGCATTTCCCTAAGAAGTGATATTCTCAGCGCAGACCCATTTCTTTCCAAGGAAACACTGAGCTAAAATGAATTAACAACCCAGGCTCCTGTCACAGAACTGCAAGGCACTATGTCACTGGAGCACATTTGGTGGCCTCAGGGTCATTTCACTAAAATGAAAGTATTGCAGTAATGCCCACCTGCCACGCGGTGACAAATGAGAAACTGCTGTACACTTTGCAACTGGGAGTCAAGTTCTAAATGTAAAGTAGAGGCTCCACTGTGCTTACATTTCCACTGTACAGAGCTGCCAGGTGGTTTTTCATAATAGATTAGTGCACTGAATATATAGAAAGGAGGCTTAAATGTTGGTCTCTGATAATATGAGGCATATAATAATTCAAGCACCCCCAAATTGCTTGAAAAGTAATTTTTAAAAATCAATCTCATTATACATATAATAGTTGTTCCTACTTACTTAGGGAATCAAACAATTTTCTTACTAATTAAAAATTTTTTTAATGGCCTACAGTATTGTAGATTCCAAAATATTAAACCATAACCCTAGCTTTCGGGCCATTCTAATAATTGTCAACACATTATTCTTCTGTAGTATAAAACCAAGATGAACTTTTAGCATGCCTACACTTATAGTTCAGAATAATAATAATCCAGGAATAACTAAACAGCTATTGCTTGACTGATATTTCCATTTCTTCAAAAAGATTTGATTAGCTTACAATTGGAAATAGTCACTCAGCCAGTGCCACTAAGAGCGATGCCAAAGGTGAACTGAGCAAAAGAAATCTCTTTGTACATTCTTCTATTTAGTACCAGTGGACATTAAATTGAGCCAGGTGAGTATCGCTCAGCTCACAGCCCCGGACACGGCATCGCCGGTCCTGTCCTGGGGGTGCACACAGACAAGACGCCCAATTGCGTTCATTCCCTGACCCCCCACTGAGATCATCTCGGCCATAAGCACAACTCTCTAGGGGAAATAATATTGTTTCTGCTTTCCAGATACCTCAAGATTATTTTATATAGTCTGATTACACTCAATTTCTCAGATTCATGGAGCTGGCTAGAGAACTGGAATTCAAACCCTCCCCGATTCTAATCCATGAAACAATGCCAAAAGAAATGCAAAATGACAAATATTTCAAAAGTGCTGAAAACAGGAATGGGCAGCACGTCACCAGATTCAAAGGAGCTTGTTGGTCGTAACGAGCCTAATGGGATATATTGGGAAGCATGATCAATGGCCTTTATCCCTGACATATCTGCCCTTGGCTTAGAGTCACAAGGACTAGAAATTGGGCCGCCATCCATTTATCACATGGAGTCCTGCTCTAATGAGCAGCCAGGGTGCTGTTTGCACTGCTGTGTCCTCCTCTCTCTTCTGTAGTAGAAACCTACCACTTGTAGAGAGCCAGGGAGCTTTAAAGGCGGGCCTGGCAGAGTCCGCATGGGGCAAATAACAAAACCAGCCACAGGCAGAAGCAAAACCAGCTGCAGTTTTCACTGCAGGGCACTATGTAGGGTGCGGGTCCACCTCCCTCTGTGCAGTGTGTCAGGCAGACAGCTGAGTGGGAAGGAATTTGATGGTTCGTTCAACTGGACAGAGAATTAGTCCAGAAGCAGTGGTTTACACGGTCCTCACTCTGCCTGTAGAAATGAGAAAAATCTGTGTTTGCTTGTTTACCTACAAGTTAACTAGTCAAAAAGTGGCAAAACCAAATGTCCCTGTCCGGACCCAAGGAGAAATCAAACTCATCTTGAACCCATGCAAGTACATGTCAGAGAAATGTGGAGATAATTTTAAAGATTCAGAAGGGAAATTGTGAATGTGATTTCGTTCGGCTGCTATTGATTTTCTTAAGGAAAACAAAAAAAAACTATAGATATGACAGTTGTAGGTTTCCCAAATAATGCCCCTGACTAACCTCAACTAACACCCACGAAGGCCACAGATTGATAAGCCCATTTATGCACAAAAAACTGCCAATTAAATTTTAGTATTTCATTCTTACATGTGAATGGCTATACAAGGACATTCAGGGAAATGTCAAATGGAAAAGGAAAACAGTAAAATAAATAAATAGATAACAGGAATATAAGGAAACTGACCACAAAACAAGCAGCATCAAACTTCAAGATCACAATGAAAAAACATAAAAGAAGACATTCTACTCATAACTTATTAATGGAATTTAAATGGGCAGAATATTTAGAGAAAAAAAGAAGAGTATTTAAAAACTCAAAATAGAATCCTTCAAAAATTTAAGCGAACCATTCTAAGATAAAATTTAAATCTCTTAGAGTAGATAGACAAAGTTAAGGTAAAAAAAAAAAATGAAAATTTAAGGATCAAATATGAACTTCAAGTATTCTATCAAAAGAATTTCATTAAAAAAATACAGGAAGGAAATTATAAAAACAAAATATAAGGAAATATCTCAGACTTAAAGATGTGAGATTCCAGGTTGGATACACAAACGGTACCTACCACAGAGAAGGGAAATAGAGCTATCCAAGAGCACATCCTTTGGCCATTTAGAGAGAGTCAGTTATAAACAAGTGATGCTAAATCTTACTAAATAAAGCAAAGATCAGTAACACAATCAACACAAAAGAGTACCACAACACTGGAAATTTAGCAAATGTCTTAGAAATTCAGAAGGCTCATGCTTTAATCTAAGTCCCCTCTACCCAGTCAAAATACCAAATGTGGGAAGGAATGAGGGTGAAATATGACAATTTAAGGATACATATCCTCTAAACATTTATGACCCAGGCCCATTCCCTTAAGTGGCTACAGGACCATATGTCTTTCCAGAAGAAATTAAGCAAAGATGGTATCAGTAAGTCAAGTGTCCAGTGCAGAGGAGAGATGAAATGAGTTTCAAATTTGATAGTAAAGAGAAATCCCAAAATGGCAGTTGGCATTTGGCTTGGAGCTGATGGACAAAGGCTCAAGGTAGGACATTGTTAAAGAAATAACTAGAACTAATTGGTATTCTCATTTATGTAAGGGGAAGCTGTACATCTTGATTGAAAAGCATGAAGAAGAATTAGTGATAACGGCGTAGAAAAAACTAAGATGTATACAACTGGCTCAGTTGTGAAGGGTAATTATGTAATCATTGTAATGGAAACACTGAATAAACATGTAAACAAAGGTCCTGGCATTAGGTCTTTTGAGAAGCAGTTAGGGGAAGGAGTGGAGTCTGGACATCCCAATGCTGTAGAAAGGAATTAAATCATCAAATCCTGTAGGAGGAAATCACTTGAAAATGCCTTGGACTAAAAATCATGGCTCAGCAAAAGAAGGCCACCATTGTAAGTCACGGAAACTATCAAAAGAGCTGCAAGAGTTGAAAATAAACACCTTTGTCTATCCTGGGTTCAGATTTAGTCAGAGATCCAATTTTGTTATTGCTGCTATAAATTTTTAGTACTTGACTTCTAAAACTATGTACCTCTTTAAAAAAAAACCTTTTTATTATAAGTTGTGTAAGCTTTCTTACAGAGCAGATCAATTAGCTTTACATCCAACACTTCACACACCCTTAGCTTCATCTCCTTGACTAAAATCCCCTCTAGGTACCATCATGTATCCCACTTCTGCCCTGGGTTTCCTGAAAACCTTTCCTGTAGCACATGGGGATATTCTGTTGCTGTTTCCCAATAATCATTATATTCATTATGAACTCAGTTGTGTAAGAAATTTTGTGATAGGTTTATTGTGCCAACCTGGCCAAGAAGAACACGTGGGATTAATCAGGTCACAGTTTGATTGGAGGACAAAGAGATAAATGGCTCTGCAAGGCCCGCCTCTCTCTTGCTCTCTGATGATTGGAGCAGGCTGGAGAGTGTGTGCTGCTACTGCTGCCCCTGGTTCTCTGCCTCAACCTGTGAGCTCCACTACCTGTGGACCAGGCCAACTTGTGGATCGTGTTTCTAGAGCTTCAGGCTCTTTCCAGACCTGCTTTGCCACACTACTGCTGCTGTGCACATTACTTGAGCTTGCGGCTGGTGAATCCTGTGGCCTTGCATTCCTTGCATTGGATATCCCATCTGGGCCTGCTTCACCAAGTTCCTGAGCTACTGAACGTTGGAGACCCAGCCTGCTGCCTGCTGCCTATGGGCAGACTCTGCTTGCCTTGCCTGAGAAGACTCTGCTGTCTGCTTCCTTGACCTTGGGCCCTGCAGTCCACGTGAGTTGAAGGACTTCCAGTATATTAACTGTTCTATAGAAGGGAGTTGAACTGAACCCTCTGTACTGATGTGTGGAATAATTAGCTGTTATATTCCTTCTCGCTGTATAAGCCTATCCTATATATTATAAAAGTGTCCTGGTTTCATTTGTCTAGAGAACCCTGCCTAACATAAATTTCAAAGAAATAAAAAGCAATATATTAATACAAATTTTAGTAAGGACTGTATAGAATTTTGTGTATTTGTAAAATTTTTATTTTCTGAACTCCAAATAGTACCCAGTAAGCACTTATGTTTCTGATCAGAAAACTAGATTAAAATCAGTACATAAATGCATTTATACATGATTATAGCTACATATAATTATGCTCTATCAAGAAATGTTAAGGAAATGCATCAAAATATAGTATAGTAGGAATGTTAGTGCATATATTTTCTCCCCATATATATATATATATACATATATGAACTTGAAGTATGAAGTCAATATGAAATTGCAGCATACATGTTGAAACTGTTAGGTTGGCTTGTATTCTGTGTATATCCTCGAGAATAATAAAGTTGTATATATGTATATATTTATATTTAAATAAATATACTCAGTCCAAAGTCTGCTGTCTCTCAAACAAAAGAAAACACTAGTTTTCATCATTTTAAATGCCGTATGAAAGATAATATAGATGTGTGTGTTAAGGGTACACATTCATAAGTGTGAATGTCATTGTCTTTCTTCAGCTAAGAGGAGGTAAGGATACAAAGGGCATATCTTACAGTATTTGAGGTGAAAACCATGGGAGGCTGGCAACAGGTCCCGTGAGAAGTCCCCTCAGTGCCCCTGGCAGAGAAAGCTAATTAAGTAAGAGGACTCTGTATGTGAAAATTTTAGGTGGTGGCTTGTGTGTGACTCTGGTCCAGTTCAGCTATGTGCTACTGCGTGGGTCTGCTTTTCTCTCCCCACCCAGTTTTGGCATACGCAACGATCTTTAAAATGTATCTGAGCTATGGCCCTGATACCTGTGATAACAGTAGGCAGACTTCTTAGGCCTGCTTTTAACGTTATTGTTGAGATATGTTATGATTTTGTTCTATCTAAAAAACTCAGATTCTGTTGCATATGGATAGACACCTTCTTGACCTAGTTTTCTGACTATAATGTATGGGTCACTAAACTCCTTAAACAATGGCTAGGATCCCCCCCGCAGGGAACAGAACACTTACCATCACGTGCTCATTGTTGCAGGACGGCTGAGCTTCCAGCCTCAGGTTGTTGAAGGTGAGTGAGATCCGCCTGCCTTCCTGCACAGTGAGTCTCCACTCACAGAGGCGGCGGTGAGAGTTGGGGCTCTGGTAGTTGGGAGAAGCAAATGTTCCGGTAGGGTTCTGGAGATCCCCGCCACACTCTAAAGGGGAGAATCAAACATGGAAAATCCCAACCCAATCAAAATGACCCAACTTATCAGGAATGCCCTCAAATCACAGTTTTATGTAAATTACATGGGGACTTTTAGAAAATGTTTGATTTTGTTTTCTTTCTCTATTAAAACTTAACCTTTGCTCCCATGGGTGATAGTTACTGGCAGTATTTTAATAACCGCCATGCACTAAGAAATAAGGAAGCCCAATCTAAATAATTACTTCCGTTTTTCTGGCAGGATACTTATGTCACCTCATCTTGCCAGGATATTTGGGACTGCAAATTCGGAAAACCTACACGGACCAGAGGTCTGGCTTTCTTGAGATGCCTACTGTTGGGAAAGACTCATCTTCTTGTTATACCTCTACGGCACTAGATGTTTCCTGATTACAACCTTTAATTTACTGGTGTGACTGATTAATATCTGTCTTGTAACTAAACATCGGAGAAAGATGAGGCTTATGGTCTCGGAAAGGGAGGGGGCAATTCTCGTCTACCTGATGGAGTCGCTGAGTCAGAACTGACTCTGGGGTAAGTTTGACCTTGTTGTTTCCCTAAACGTGCTTGTTTTCCCTTCTTGCTATTGCAATCCTGGCGCCCAGTGAAGTATTTATCAATACAGGTGCTCAGTGGGGCTTGACTTTTCATTTGAAACAAAGGGTGACTTACTTTCTACGCTCGACTCAAAACGCAACCTGAATCCCGAGGCAGTAAGCGAACCATCTGTGACAAATCTGACTAACGCGACATTGCCAGACGTCTCCACTCTGTCGGGAAAGGTGTTTCCACAGAATCTGCCCAACGTGTTTCCTGTGGGAGTCAAGTGACGAAGTCAGTATACGTCCAGGTAACGGATTCAACCTCTGTTTGTTTCTGACTTTGAGAAAAGCAAATAACAAAAGGCAAGGCCTTTCTTCCCGTGAAAACATGGTAATCTCGGTCAAGAAAAGGAAGGGAACCTGAATAAAAAGGAACACTTTCGAGTATACTGAGATATTGACAAAGCTTCCAGTGGGACAAAACCCTCTAAGCACAATGACAACATTGATTTGGTGATGGAAAAAAGTCTGAGAGTGACGAGGGGCCGATTGCTAGGACAGATCTCCCTCTCCTCGCCGTGCCTTTGGGAATGCCCCCAATCTCATCGCTGGTGGCACCAGAGGGACCAGCTAGAAGAGGATGCATTCCCAATTCGCAGTTCTAACGCTGTGCTCTGCAGGCTATGCACCTGGGCCCTCTTTGGGTGAGAGTCAAGGGCAAGAACTGCTCCTGCCCAGAGCTCCTTGGTCGCACTTCTCTGCATAATCCGAGTCTTCTTTTTGGCCTTTCTTGGAAATCAGGAAAATTCAGAGGCGATTACGTACATGTAAAAATCAATACTTGCAAAAGACATACTTCACTAACCAGAGATATGGTTGTCCCAGATCTCCACGAAGTCTTTCTCACAGCCGGAGGAATTCTGAAGGTGAAAGTCTTCAAAGTGGATGGTGATATAGTGCCCCGAGGGGGCCTGCAGCTGCCACTCACAGAATAAATTGTCCTGATAGGGGAGTGCCGGGTAGCCAATGCTTTCAATGATACTGCTCTGGCCAGTCACTCTGCCTCCACACAGGGCTGGAAAAGCAAAACACCACACCCCCCACATCAGTGCAGGTCTTTCACAATGCTGCCAGGACATTTGTCTCCCTGTAGGTGTCCCATGGCGGTACCCTGAAATGTTTGCAACTCTGAATATGCCTGGTCAGTGCTCCCTCGTATTTGAGACCTACCATGGATGTAAAGGGAAAAGCCACCACAAGTTCAATCCAAGGTTGGGAATGGAACACCGACATATCCTGCAAGGTCACATGAAGTCTGTCGGGACACTACGTGTGACCTCTCTGTGACAGCTAGATAGCACTGGAAGAGCCAAGAGTCCCGTGTGCCATGTTGACAACGACGGTGCTGTGGTTGATGAGTGATGCCTGGCATTCCTAGTTTCACTATCAAACCATCACCTGACAATTGTCGCCAGTATCTTTAGGACTGGCAGATTTCCAGGCAAGCCTTTCCTCAGCTGGAATCAACAGCTGCGCTGAATTAGGTGCAACTTGCCTCTGGACATAAAAACGATCTCCTAAAACCCACTGTCGTTGAGTGGATTTGGATACTGTTTGGGTTAAATAGTGTACAATTGGGCTTTCTAGTTTGCTATAATAAATAAACAAACTCATAAGTGGCTAAGTCAGACCAGCCAGGTACTAAATTTTGTGCCATGATGGATCATACTATAGTGGATTTTCAGTCTTTACATTTTGGGGTCATGTCAGGAAGTGGTAACTGAAAACACTGAGCAGCCCTATGGTTATGGGAGTGGGGTAAGACAAGGTAGGCTACTCATCTATAAATGACAAGTTTATAGTCTCGATTCTAACTTTCACTGTTTGATTATATATATTATAATACAATATATAATATTATTTCACAGAGAGAGGAAGAAATGAATTTTTAACTGGAAATCTTTCAAAAACAAGTGAGGAAAAAAATCATACAATACCTAGGTTTACGAGAATAATGTTTTAAAATGATCATCCAAGTAAAAATTTAAAATAATGACTTCATGTTTATAATAAGCACATATCTTACCAATCAATTCCTAAAACAAACTAGCTCATAAACAGAGAGATTTCTTAAAATAATAACATTTTTTAAAAAATGTCTGAACACATTCTATTGCTGTATCCCTATTAAAGATAAAAAGGATTTTCACCTATGGAATACTTAGCCTTGAAGCCAACATGAGCGGGGCTGTTATCAGACCGGAATCTCAAGTACATGACTTCTTCTGAGGACAGCTGACTGCCAGGCAAGGATGTCCCACAAAGCTTGGAAAGCAACCGGGCATTGGAATCAGCTCCGTCCCGCAACTCAAGGTAATTGGCAGTACAGCTGAAAGTGGGGCAAAAGAAAAAAAAGATCTCTGTAATTTATGAGGCTGATTGCTTTGGCATATTTTGATAATGAAGACATTATTGACTTTCATGGAGGGTATTGTTAAATTGCTCCTGCGGTGTCAAATACATTGACACTCTGCTTAAACTGCATGCCACTTTATAAGGACACGTCATGTTTTTCCTAATAACAAACCCCTTAGTTAGTAACACCAAAAGGACAGGAAGGACATGGAAAGACATTTACTTGTCCTCTGTGTTGTCTGAGTTTCATAAATATAAAGGCGTCTCAATTTACCTCCTAGGTATTAAAAAAGCTATAACTACTTTTCACAGAATGATTTGGTCCATTTTTTACGACACGGATGAACTCTTGAGAGTTCTGCATCCATGCTAATGAGTCCCAGCTGGAACTGTCTGGGTGTCCATAAAAGTGAACGAGTATTTAGCCAACATTTCTGAGCAAGTCCATTAGCTAATGAATGCTCAGGGAGTAGAAAAGTACCCTTATGTCAATTACTCACAATGAGAAGGAAAAGCTCGGGATCCAGGCTTTGTACCATTCATGTAGCAGGCAGACACTGATGGCCTTTGAAGGAGCCTTGGTGGCAAGATCAGTTAAACAT